AGTGGCTGCTATTCTATGGGCAGGCCAGGTTGGTGACTGATGACCATTTTTCACACTTAGTGACCATTTTTCACACTTAGCGACCTTTGCGACCATTTTTAACACCATAGCGACCATTGCAGCATCTTCATGGTGACGTGATAAAAAAATTTATGTTTGGCAACAGATTCGTATTTATGATGGTTTCAGTGTCCTGGGGTCATGTAATCGCCTTTTGTGACCTTTTGACAAAATATAAAATTTTTAATCAAGCCTCCCACCCCCCGGTCAATGGTGTCCCTGTTTACCAATCTGAAAATCTGGTCACCTTACGCACATGCCCAAGAGAGGGCTCTGCGTGCCACCTCTGACACCTAGATTTGCCATCATGGGTATATGTCTTCTGCCTTCCTCAGAGGGTTGGACTAGAAGACCTCTGAAAGGATTTCATGATTCTATGTTCTATCCCCAGTCACCTCTGATATTTTAGTTAAAGGACACATTGAAAGGGGGATTCCAGATTTTGCATTGAAGGGATTCTAGTAAATCGTGAAGGTTATGTTCCATTCTTCAGCCCAAACAATTTTAGAGTCACTATCAGCAAAACATTTGCTGCCTACAAGTTGACAATCCAGATCACAAAAGGAAAAAGGGGGTGAGGATGCCCCCGCCCCCCAAAAAAACCAAACCAAGTTTAAGATACTTAAGATAACCATCTGCAAATCACTCAGAGAAAATTGAAAAGTGGGCTAAGCTGCTCTTTCTGGAGGGATCTTGGAGTATTTCCCATCTCATCTTCCTACATCCCTGCTATGGTTTGCAAAAATACCAAGACTTTTGAGAACTTAACCATAGACTCCTCTGCTTAATCACAGAATCCATCCAGACAGAACATCTAAAGTGGTCCTCAGGACTGGTGTCAAAGATATCTTCTACAGTCTGACATTTCTGTTCAGTTGTGGAAAGGAGCGGAGAAGCAACCATCATTTCAAACACCCTTAAGCATCTTTCCACCATAACTTTGCACTTAATTCATTCCTCCGATGAAATAATTTGCCCCTTTCCCTTCAGAGCAGGTTTGCTCTACTGGTGAATGCTTAAAACATCTCTGTAAGTGACGGAGCTCCCTGGAGGGCCCGAGTAAGTGAGCTAGCATTATTCCTTCTCCCCATCCTTCAGCTTAGCAACTGCTTTGTTGCAGAGCAAGTGATTCAGCCGACATTCTCCTGATGAATTATTCAGGAGGACTGGGAGTACCAGGACTCGGGCCTCTTGCCAGTCATGGATGCTAAGTTACATAAGACAAAAAACATGAGGCTGCTGATTGCTGTAAACAGCTATTCTCTTTGTGAGCGTTTTCAAATGCTTCCTTCTTTCCTCCCTGCAGTAAAGGAAGTTTCATTGGGGCTGTAAAAATAAATCAGCCCAGTCAAAAGCTCTTGCCTCAGCTTGTCAAGTTATTCAAGGGCAGAACAGTGACATCTCATCCACAGGGAACAGTTGAGCCCAGCTTCTCCCCAGCTTTTGAAGAACTTGACTCTTTCATGGCAGCTGGGGACATTTGCTAGCAGTTGCATGACAGTGACCCCTAACGGAAGAAGGATTTGTAGGTCTGGATTTCCTTCCGTCGTCATTGGCTGTTGCTTTTGTAAGGGAAATGTTAATCAAAACAAGCCAGTCTCAGCGGCCCTGCAGAATATGCAGTAAGAAAAATGAAAATCTGTGGCATTAAATGAGTTCTTAATGGTGTTGACATTAGCTATTTGAGCACAACAGCAAAGTTTCTTAAGCACAGAAATTCAGTGAGCAGAAAAGAAACATTGCAGCTATTAAGGACACTGTTTCCAGCACCAAGGCCATCAAGACTGAATTTACAGCCTGGAAAACCATCAAGTGATAAGGCAAGATGCTCCAACCGTCATCCATCAAGTCAATTAATTTTATTATCCAATAATGGAGCTCTCTGCCCCATAATAGTTCAATTATCTGCTTTTGTTGCATTCCAGAGTTTGCAAAAATCAGTTCTTAGTTCTTAACTCTCAAGGAGTTGCTTTCATATTGCCAGAGGATACATTATACCCAGTTGTGCAAAGTAGGCAATAAAAAGAGGATTTGGATGAAACTGTAACTTAATTTTAAGAGTGATGCTCCTGAAAGTCAAGCCTTATTGAAAATAACGGGCCATGAATGAAACTACTTCATGCTGTCTAGGAATTTTGGAAATTTTAGTCCTAACATATCTGGAAAATAGAAGATGCTATAGACCTTACCAGAACAAGCAAGGCCATTGGCTATTGTTATTCAATGGGGGAAAGAAATAACAGATGTTTCTATATTTCACATTCAAGATGTATCCCTAAATTGAGTGTCATCTTAAGCTGTGATTGGAAGGACTCCTTAGAGTGGTTATTCCTTAGATGTTCACCCATTCTCACAATAGTCCAATCTCCATCAAGCTATTCTTGAGTTAAGGTAGCTTGAAGTGTATATGTTCAGTAGCTCTAGTTGTATTTTTCTATTTTTACTAAGCTGTTGCTGCCCTTTAATAGCTTGAGATATGGGCTGGTCAGAATAATTCTCTCACCCTCATAATGGAAGGGGGGGGGATAAAATGCAATAGAAGTCCCATTGCTTAAAGATATAGGAGAAATTTAAGTCAATAATTATTCATCTCATGAATTCATCACATTTCACTGTTAAAGACATTCCATTTTTCTACAATTTAAATCTATGTGTTTTGCTTTTCATTTCTGATATCATCCTCCCTAAAAGGTCACAAGTCTTTTTTTTTCATGGAAATATCAATTAGTGTTGAATTTTTCCACAAGGGGAATCTTTTCTTTTCTCTTCCACAGTCATCTACATTTTCAGTTTGACTGATTTTCAGCCAGCAAGGATGTTCATAAATTGTGTCCACTCAATTGAAGGTTTCAATATGAAAGGTCCTTCTGCCATAATTCCAGACATTTATTTCCTCCTTTTGGACAATAAACCATGCCAATGCCCTACTTTTGACTTCTGTGGTTTTAGAGTTATTTATAGATTAATTTCTAGATTTGGCACAGTCTCCATGAACATGGAGACTGTGATTGCTGAGACCTGATTGCTGAGACTATGAAAAACAGATTTTTTCCTGAAAAGTAAAGTCTAATAAAAAGAAACATATGAATGTCTGAAGAAAATGGCAAGTCTCATTTTTAATAGAGCTTTTCAGTTTTCCATTGCCCTGACGCAATGCTCTCCAGAAAAATTCACATTAAAGATCATATGAAGGAGCAGAGATATACATAAGATTTAAAAAAAAAACAATCCAGGAATAATGTCTCATTCTCAGATTAGCCATGGCCACCAAAACATTTTCCAAGTTTTTCCAGAATGCAATATTTCTTTTAAAGTACAGCGATTACGTAAACATTCATGGATGTTTTCAGTAGTGATAGGCATTCTTTCATTTTTAAACATTTAAAATGTAGAGCCTTCTTTGCCAGATATTACTAACTAATGATTTATATTGGAGGGAATGAAAAATTCAGCCAGTAAAGGCTGTTAAATCTCTTGATTTAGATTTGAGACCAAATTCATCAGGGGAAAAAAATAAATCAACAATATTTAAACATTTGAGTTTCTCTTCAAAATTACAGATTTTCAATAATTACAATTAAATAAATATATATTTAGGCTAGAAGACCGTTAAGGTCTCTTTCAACTTCTTTATTCTGTTAACTAGTTAAAAAAGTAACTAAAAATAATAAAAGCTACATGTTTTAAATAATTCCTCCAGGCCAAACACATCTAGGGTGGGGCTGTCAAACTCCGGTCCCATAGGCCGGATGCCGGCCACGGCCACGCTTGATTTAGCAAAGGGGGGGAAGTCCCAATATGTCACGTGATGCCACCATGACAACATGAGTTTGATACCACTGATCTAGGTAGTGAGGGCTGCATTAGAGTAAAAAATATTAAAATAATAGGCATGACCTAATTATTGAAATCCAGCCTCTTTTCAACATATATCACATGGACATAAAAAGAGATTAGATTAATCAGTCATAACCCACAATTTGGCACTGTTGATCCCGTCTATGGATGCCGGTGGTCCAGTCATTCTAGAAGAATATTGAGCAGAAGGCCTTTTATAATTTTATCACCCATAGATGCATGATGAATTTTAATCACACTTTTGGATCTAGCTTTCTTTCATTTTTCTAAAGTGTGTGGAGATAGGAAGAATCAAGGACAAATGGAAATCCAGTTTCCCCCAACATACTTTCTTAAAACCACTAAGTTGATTGTGCTTTATTACTTTATGATGTTTTCTAAGGCCAGCTTTTGAATCACGAGGCATTACTAGTACTAATATATCCAGATATTATTTTGACACAGCTTTCTTCCATTTTTTTTTTCAATTGAAAAATAGTGACATAAAGAAGGGAGACTCATAACTACTTTTTTTTTCTAAGAACCAGAAAAAATGTTTTGTTTTGAAAACATTAGAAGAAAAGTAACATGAGTCATTCAGTATTACACAAAGGAGTTCAAGTACAATTAATAAAAGTAATCCCTTTCT